TCACGCCACCAAACACACATTCAGACTAAAGGAACCAGCCTGTTTGGGAAATGAGAGAAGTAGAAAGTACAGGTATTTGTGTTCAAAATGTAAGAAGTAGAAAGTACAGGTATTTGTGTTCAACATAGTACAGATTTGAGTTCAACATGTAAGAAGTAGAAAGTACAGGTATTTGAGTTCAACATGTAAGAAGTAGAAAGTACAGGTATTTGTGTTCAACATGTAAGAAGTAGAAAGTACAGGTATTTGAGTTCAACATGTCAGAAGTCAAAGTAAAAAGTCGTCAGAAAATAAGTAGTGGAGTCTGATACCAGAAAAATGTGGTACAGTAACAAAGTATTTGTACTCCACTACTTCCTACCTCTGCTAGTACTGCCACTGTTTATTATTGTCGATTAATCTCCCAAGAGGATTCTAATTGTATCTGTTAATCTTAAAAGTCTCAGAAAGTACTAGGCAAATATAAAAAAAAATCGTACTATTTTTCGATCAAGAAATCATTCCAGCACTTTTAAACAAACATAATAATTGAAATCTCCCCACTCCCCTCCTCCCTCTCCATGCTTACACTGTTGCACACTTTTTTATTCAGTTGCAGCCCCTCCTCCTGCTTATTTTCGTCGTTGCCCCCCCCCCCCCCACCCTCCCTGCAAGCCTCACTGCAGATAAGCTGTTGACAAGATTAATGCATCGGTATCAAAAGTCCAGAGCCGCTTTGCGAATCCCTTTTTCCGGGTCAAGCCAGATTGCCTTAACTGGGCTAATATGTTTTCAAGCCAAATGTAACTGACGTGCCGTCAACAGGGGGCTTTAGCAGCATCCTGACAGCACGTTTTCATCACAACAGGTTTATTCATAATTATAAAGCTTTATTTATACAGCACTTTTCATACAACACATGCAGCTCAAAGTGCTTTTACAAAATGACACATCGCAAGTTCAAAACAAACAAAAATAAATTCCCCTCAGATTATTTGTTAAGAACTTTAAAAGGTACATGCAGCAAAATATAACATGTGATCAGGTTAGTAGACAAAGGAGGTTAAAGAGATGATGATAAATAATGGTTTCTCTCAGACAGATAAGACACAAGACGACTGAGTCGATGCAACAATTTGAACATATAGGTACAATAGAAATAAAAATAAAAATATAATAGTAATAAAAATGCCATAATTCTAATAAAGGTTAAAGCGGGTAGGTTGACACGTACGAGGGATTTGACTTGGTGTCTTCGTGCATTCATAAAATTAAGACAGGAATTAAAAACACAGATAGAGAACTATTTTAAGAAAACATTGTAAAAAATATAGTAAAATAAAATATAGCAGTTTTTACATTGAAATAGAATGGAATAAAATACAAGATAAGAAAAGACTTGATTCATCCCGAAGGAAATTGTTGTGCCAGAGTTACAAAAACACAATAAATACAATATTAATAAGACTGTGCACTAACAGCGCCGTAAAAAGAGTAATTCAAAACACAGGAAACATCGACGGTCACATCATTAATGTAAATAACAGTATTTAATAGTGCAAAAACCGTAGTGGTAGTTACGTAATTGCATGTTATTTATTGAACATTATTAATAATATTACTAATAATAATAGAAGAATATGTGCAGTAATACAAAAAGCAATGTGTGTGTGCATTAGTGTAATGCATAGAGTCCATGATGTGGCTGAGCTAGACGTTTTAAAATGATGGCTGGTGGAGGAATGAATGCATAATTTAGATTTCATCCTGCCTGGTCATTTCTACAGCAGCGGCTTTAAATGTATTTTCTGTGTTAGGTGCCAATATGTCTGAGGAATCGTCAGCATTATGGGCTCCATTCCCTTTGGGATTGTCTCATTTTAAAAATGCATGCACACGTGATACACAAATGCACTTTGCAATGCATTCATGGTGCGCCTCGAAGCTATTGCGATTCAGCTGTATGATTTATATGCCCTATTGATTTAATTTATGGTTTTTCCGCTCTTCCATAGGAACCCCGGTCAATCGCATCCCAATTATGGCCAAGCAGGTCCTGGATCTGTACATGTTGTACAAGCTGGTGACGGAGAAGGGAGGCCTGGTGGAGGTGATCAACAAGAAGATCTGGAGGGAAATCACAAAGGGGCTCAACCTGCCGACCTCCATCACCAGCGCTGCCTTCACCCTGCGCACACAGTGAGTATTCACATGTGCACAGGGATGTACGAAAAAGATAAGATCAGATCAGATAAGATGGACCTTTATTAATCACCCTGGGGAAATTCAGTGGTTTAACAGATGAATAGGTACCAGTCGATGCTAAAATCTGAAAACGTGCCGGTACTACCGTCAGGGCCGAGGCTAATGCACTCATAATTAACTCACAAATGATATGTCCTGGTTTCCCTGGTAGAGCTACAGCGTGAACACCAAATCCTTGATAAAACCCACAGGAGAAAGCTACTGCATGCTAGCTGTTAGCTAGTGGGTACGCTGGAAAAAATGCTGCTCCAAAAACAAGTTAAACAATAATGAAAACAATCTGTTTTCACTTGAAATAAGTACAAAAATCTGCCAATAGAACAAGTGAAAATTAGCTTGGTACGATTTCTTGAAATAAGAAGGGATATTTAGATAAATCAGATCTTATAATTAGCTGGGAGACAAATGTTGAACTATATTTGACCAGAATCATGAAATGTTGTTTACAATATACAGTAAGCTGCAAAAATGCACAAAGGTTTTCTGTTTTCTGATGTTAGTTGGTGATTTTCTAATAAATATGTAACAAAATCTGAGATACAACTCAAAATAAGATTATTTGATTTAACAAGATGAAGCATTGTCTAAAAACAAAACCCGATATCTCACTGCAGTTACTCCTGAAGTTATTATGTCTTATATCAGGTGTGAAGACATATTCTGACTAGATATCAGACAAATATACTCGGCAAGATTTCGAGTCACAAAAACTGATGATTATAGGTACCAAGTCGATGCTACAAATCTGAAAACGTGACGGTACAGTCAGGGACGAGGCTAATGTAGTAAACTCACTATGTCCTGGTTTCCCTCGTAAAGTTACAGCGTGAACACCAAATCCTTGATAAAACCTGCAGGAGAAAGCTATCTAATGCTAGCTGTTAGCTATAAAAAAAGAAGCAAATATAGAATTTACCAGTACCAGGTCGATGCTAAATCTGAAAACGGGACAATACTACAGTTCACAAGATACCATCAGGGCCGAGCCAGTAACGATATGCAGTGTTTTTCCCTTTTAATGCTACATCGTGAACAACAAATCAAAGATAAAACCAGCAGGAGAAAGCTACTTAATGCTAGCTGTTAGCTGTTAGCTGTCAGCCATTAGCTGTTAGCTGTTAGCTGTCAGCCATTAGCTGTTAGCTGTTAGCTGTCAGCCATTAGCTGTTAGCTGTCAGCCATTAGCTGTTAGCTGTTAGCTGTTAGCAGCCTTAGCTAACAGAACCAGAGTCTGCTTTATTTCCAAGATAGTTTACGCATTCAATGAATTAGTTTTGGTGTATGATGCTGCATACCTGTACACAGTAAGAGGAATTAAATTGTATAAAAGAAGCACATATAGAAATGCAATGAAAACATTATAAAATTAAATTAAATGTTTAAAAAAAAACGGAAAATGTAATGAGAATAGGACACTCCAAAACATAAAATATATGAAGTGTAATATCTAACATTAAGTTCCTTCATAATGATGAGTTCTCAGTAAAATGAGTTTTGAGCAGAGGTAAATAAAACCCTTATCATGATTTGGACACATTTAAGCCCTTTTAATTGTAGTTTTCTCTCATCTACTTGAAAAGATACAGTAGTTTAAGGCAGATGTTTACAAAGATATATCAAAAAGTGAATTATATCCATCAGGAAGCAAACAGTATTAACAAATAACGTATATTAAAGTCCACAGGATTTATTCTTATCGTTTTAGTCACAATGCTACGTTTTCCCTGTTTATGCCACAAAACAACCAATGAAATTCTCTTAATTGGCTGCAGTAGTCACCCAATGAGCATCCTATCCATCTAACGTTAATCTTACATAAGCGCTAATTTAATTTACGGTGAACTAAATAAAGAATCTCAAGTGTGTGTCTTCTCAGCTGCAAACAAGCACGTTCCTTATCCCATATGTGTGCGTGAGAGTATGTGGGTATTTTTTCATGTGTGTGTTGGTTATAAGCCGCGATGTCAATAATAACCCGTGCCTGTGTGTTTATACAAATGCGGGTTTGTTTCCTTCCCTCTTCACATCCAATCCGTGTGTATATTACATCACACACAGCTCCCATTGATCCCTATAGATGTATTGATGTGATTTAGGTCAGAGTTCGCTATGACTAAGGTTTGACCGACAGATTGCACAGAAAAACCGCGACTAAAATCCCCGTTGCTATCTTGATGGAAACCCTTCTCTACACCTCTCTATCCGGTGCACTAATGATCCGTTATGTATTTTTAATGTTGCTCTATCTAATGGAAGCTGCTCTTAGCCTATTATTGATCTGCCATCCCAGCATTATCAGCATGCACAACACAGTATGTTCATTTTCCTTTTGGCTCTTAAATACCAGAGCTGTGATGTAATCTAAGTATACTCAGCATACAAAACATGTCCTTGCACAATTGTCCTGCCAGGTGTCTCATTAAATCCTGTGATATTACATGTAAGAAGGTTACGGTTGGCTTGCTGGAGTAACCTGATTTTGGAAATGTCAGTTATACAATGGGGGTTTTCTATAATTAGGGGTGAGGGATTAGGGAACACTAAGGGGTGGGACCATGGGGGATTTATTGTGGATTAGAGTATAAGAAAACACTCACAATAACTGCATTTTGTCTTAGAAATGCTGTTAAAGTAGGGAAATAAAATAAAAGAATACAGAAATTGTTAAGTCATCCATTCATCCCTCTTCTCCCGCTTATCCGTGGTCGGGTCTCGGAGGTAGCTGTTCCAGCAGAGAGCCCCAAACTTTCTTTTCCCCTCATCAACCAGCTCTGACTGGGGGATCCCAAGGCGCTCCCAGGCCAGCGAAGAGATATAATCCCTCCACCTGGTTCTAGGTCTACCCCTTGGTCTCCTCCCAGCTGGACGTGCCTGGAACACCTCCCTAGGGAGGCGCCCAGGTGGCATCCTAGCTAGGTGCCCGAACCACCTCAACTGGCTCCTTTCGACCCGAAGGAGGAGCGGTTCAACTCCGAGTCCCTCCCGGATGACCGAACTTCTCACCTTATCCCTAAGGGAGACACCAGCCACCCTGCGGAGAAAACCCATCTCGGCCGCTTGTACCCGCGATCTCGTTCTTTCGGTCATGACCCATCCTTCATGGCCATAGGTGAGGGTAGGAACGAAAATGGCCCGGTAGACAGAGAGCTTTGCCTTCTGGCTCAGCTCTCTTTTCGTCACAACGGTGCGGTAAAGCGACCGCAGTACCGCTCAGATTCTCCGACCCATCTCACGCTCCATTGTTTTTGAGAACCTTAATTAAAAAATGTCTATATTTGTTTATTTGTCTTAAAATTAAGATCCTATCTATGATGCAATAAAAATATTAGTTTTTTAATTATTTGATTGATTCTAGTATTTCTTAGTGCCATATTATATAGATGTTTTGGATAATATTGTGAATGACTTTTGCCAGGATAATCATCGCAATAAATAATAAATAAATAAATGGTCAAATTAAGTAAAATAATTATGTTGCATGCAGGGATCAAATGAAAGACTGTTCTTTGTAGGAGGAAATTATTTTAATTCAAAAGGAAATCTTTACATTGACAATAAAGCAATGTATCCACGCTTTAACAATCTAAAGATATGTGGTTGTACTCCTCCGTTGGTAAACTACTTGTAAAAACTCTCAGACGTATTTTGCACCTCAAGGAGAAACTAATCTTTCACCAGGAAACCAAATGAATAAATAAATAAATTACCATCAGGAAACAGCATCTTATATCAGAGCTGCACTTAAATTAAAGGTCCCCTATCGTACTGTTTCTCATCATTATATTATAGGTCTCAGACATGTCTCTGAAGTGTTTGCCTCCAAACACCAAACAGATCATTGCAGCATTACCCATAATCCCCTCTGTTTCAGCCCTGTTTCTAATGTGCTGATTCTCTGTCTGTTACTTTAGAGCAGTGTTTCTCAAACTTTTTCGTACCAAGGACCATTTAACCAATGAAAAAACAGTCGTGGACCTAACTCCACAAATATCCAAAAACACATCGTTTATTTAAGTATCTTTAATAAAATTAAAACAATTAAGTAGTATCTTAAAATAATCACTTAGTCACTTAAAATCATGTCTATGTTTATATCCAAAAACGGATATACAACGACAAAAGACTAAATCTAACATTAGGCTCCATTGAATTACATTATGTTGCGTTCAAGCTCCCCTCAGAAATTGTAGTTTTAAATGTAGTTTGTGCCAAGAAACTTGAAATCATACAGTTCTTTAAGGGAATCTTTTTTAAGGCAGATATACAAACCTGATTTACTTGACCTGAAATCATGAAATAATATCGCTAATTAAGATACATGTGGTCAAGATGGTGACCAAGTATCTTAAATGAATGAAATACCTTGTCAAATCATCAAGTAGTATCTCAAAAATAATGACGTATCTCAAACTAAGATGTTTCAAAAGAAAATTTCTGAATGTTTTGAGATATTTAGTGACTATTTTGAAAAAGTGTTTCATAATATTGATTAAAAACACACATGGGCCTCCATAAATGTGCTTATATACTGTAGTTTATAAAAGTACATATTTTAACAGGTTTCATCCCTTAACATCATAAATACTCCTTTGATACTTCCCATGTGAATGTTTCCTGGTGATCTGATGTATTTCTGGTGATCCGATGTATTTCTGGTGATCTGATGTATTTCTGGTGATCTGATGTATTTCTGGTGATCTGATGTATTTCCTGGTGATCTGATGTATTTCTGGTGATCTGATGTATTTCCTGGTGATCCGATGTGTTTCCTGGTGATCCGATGTGTTTCCTGGTGATCTGATGTATTTCTGGTGATCCGATGTGTTTCCTGGTGATCCGATGTGTTTCCTGGTGATCTGATGTGTTTCCTGGTGATCTGATGTGTTTCCGGTGATCTGATGTATTTCCTGGTGATCCGATGTGTTTCTGGTGATCCGATGTGTTTCCTGGTGATCCGATGTGTTTCCTGGTGATCTGATGTATTTCCTGGTGATCCGATGTGTTTCTGGTGATCTGATGTGTTTCTGGTGATCTGATGTGTTTCCTGGTGATCCGATGTGTTTCCTGGTGATCTGATGTGTTTCCTGGTGATCTGATGTGTTTCCTGGTGATCCGATGTGTTACCTGGTGATCCGATGTGTTTCCTGGTGATCCGATGTATTTCTGGTGATCTGATGTATTTCCTGGTGATCCGATGTGTTTCCTGGTGATCTGATGTATTTCCTCTCTGTGTTTTCTCTCCTCAGGTACATGAAGTACTTGTACCCGTTTGAGTGTGAGAGGAAGGGTCTCAGTTCTCCAGGTGAGCTTCAGGCTGCCATCGACAGCAACAGACGTGAAGGCCGGCGTCCGAGCTACAGCAGCAGCCTCTTCCGCTTCTCCCCCTCCCCGAGCACCGCGCCGCACATCCTCTCTCCTCCCAAGATGCACCTGGGCAGCCTGGCCGTGCTCAACGGCATGCACGTCTCCCCGGGACACGTTATGAAGAAAGGTAGGAGCCATGAAGCTGTGGATGTAGAAACGTCTAGCAGCTAAAGAGACGGAAATGTTACTGATCACACTTGTTTTACAGCTTGTATGCTCCTCCATTTCTAATATAAAGAGTCTCAAATCAGTATTTAATGTTAAATAAGCTGCAATAATCTGTATTTTTTTGTTCAAATTTAAGTTAAAACCTTTGTTTTTGGACTGAAAAACGAAAAATGTGTCCTTTGTAAATCATCTGTATTAGCTTTAAACTGAACCCAAGTAAAGCAGAGGATCAATTCATTTATCTTTTTACACAAAACTAAACTTGTATCTGTTTAACATCACATTTAATGACTTTTTAGAAACCTAAGTGGACATTTTAAACACTAAACGATTAGTCATGAAATCTAAACAAATAAACTAATGATGTGTTGGGGTTTCCTTCTAAAATAACCCTTCCTTAAATAACCTGTAAGTAAACAGCTCTCAGATAGACGGACATGTTCAGAAACCCTCTCTAAATCTGCCGAGGTTACATTTATCTGGGTAAATATGTACGCCACATAATGAGGCCTCTCTGTACTGGTCACATTAAACCGGTGTTACAGATGTGCTGGGAGTGTTTAAAGGGGAACACTGCCCTCTGGTGGGCAAACACGTTAATTAAAAAACACTTCCTACAGAAAAGGCTTTAGTTTTAAAGAGACATTAAATTAAAAAATGTGTTTTTTATTAGATCAATAAGTATAGACGATATTAAAACACCAAATCTATCAAAACATTTTATATTTACATTATGAACAACACATTATTATTAAGTATTTAATGTCAAAAGAGCTGCAACATTTACTATTTCCTGTTTTTCTTTACTGTTTTTTTTATCTGATTAAAGTACGTTTTTTTTACTGACTAACAATAATAATCCACTAAGTTTGTTGGGAGCATTTTTAAGTAGGAACTATTTTCCCTTCAAAACTATACCCCTCAAAGAACGAGCCTGTAGATATCACTACTTTCGGCGGAGTGATATGCTGGAAAGAAAGTAGTTCCTACTTGAAACTGCTCACTAAAAGGTCTCATGATTTCTGGAAAATATACAGTTGTTTTAAGTTTTGTTTTGGCGCTTTGAGCACCATAATGAAAGTGTCATCTAACTCCAATATATTGGAGAGAAAGCAGACATCAGTGCAGCAAATATCTCCAACACTTCCACCAAAAAGCTATCTACTGTAGTTTGATAAATAACACAGAAAATAAGTACGTTTTTGGTTTAAGGGTAAACAAAAAACCTCATCTGTTAGTCCTGGTTCACTCAGGTGTTGGTTTGACTAGTTGTAGTTGTGCGACAGAGGGCGTTATATCCACATAAATACGTTAAATATAACACTAAGAAACCATCTTGATTGATAACAACCTCTACAGGTAAAATAGAAGATATATATTCTGATTTTGGCGTGTACTGTCCCTTTAATGATTTAAAAGCACTTTTTAAAAAATGTCTATCAGCATGATTAACAAGCATTTAAAGGCATTATATATATAGTCCCTGACGACAGACCAGAATACTCTTCATCCGAGCACCTGCTGCTTTTTTGTCGTGTGTGTGTGTGTGTGTGTGTGTGTGTGTGTGTGTGTGTGTGTGTGTGTGTGTGTGTGTGTGTGTGTGTGTGTGTGTGTGTGTGTGTGTGTGTGGGTGTGTGTGTGTGTGT